TGCTGGCTTCTGCAGTCTTTGAGCTGCTGGTGGCTCCAGGCAGCAAAGCAGGTCTCAAGAACCAACCTGGTTCTCTACTTCTTCTAGGTACCTTGGGGTGGTCCAGGCCAGCCTGGGTTTGGGTGGCTCCAAAACCCTGCATTGTACCTGAGCCTGCCTCAGTGAGGGGAGACAGCAAGGGGCTAGTTGCCCCCATTCACTGCTCTGGGACATGCCTGTCCCCTCTGACAGCTCACTCAGGGCTGCATCACCAGGCACAATGCAAATGGCACAAAGAGCTGCAAAATCACAGCAAGAGTGCTCAAGACAGAGCCTTAGGGTTTATTTCTGCAGCTACAGGCAGGGGCTGAGTGATGCTCGCCATGGCCACCCACTGCCTAGGAGTGACCCAGGCAAGGCTGGACTGCGGAGTGCTGGGAGCAGCTACGTGTTAAAGTGCCAGCAGCAGCTGGGAGCACATGGGACCTGCCAACCTTCACCTCCACAAAGTTCTCAGAGGCTGAGGCTGCTCTGAAGTGCCTGGGAAGCAAGTTGGGGATGGGCAGGGCTCTGCATGGGGTCAACATGGCTCACTGCAGCCACAGCCCTCCATAGGTGAAGCTGGTGTCACCACTGCCGTCACAGGTGCCTAAAGTCCTTTAGGGCCACATGGGCAGCATTGCGTCCTGCAGCTCCCATCACTCCTCCTCCTGCAAAAAGCAGAAACGGGCAGTGGCGGGCAGCTTCAGACCCAGGAGATGGGGTGCAGGGCTGCACCCACAGAGCTGCCCCATCTCCCTGCCCCTGAGAGGGCAGAGAGGGCAATGGACATACTCCCCCCACTGATGCCCTTGCACCTCTTCCACACATCCCTGCCCTCCTCCTGCAGCTCCCCAGCAGGGTCCTGGCTCCCAGGCACTGCTCACCAGGGTGGGCTCCACTTCCACACAGATACAAGCCAGGAACTGGAGACCGGTAGCCTGAGTAGGATGGTGCTGGCCGGGCAAAGTACAGCTGGTCCAGAGACATCCCTCCATGGAAGATGTTCTGCAAGCAGAGCTCTGCGTGAGCTGGCTGTGCCTGGCCCAGGGCTGTGTGCTCACCAGAACAGGCACCAGAGTGATGCTCTGAGCTAAGCCAACATGGTACCTACCCCACCAGGCAGCCCAAAGATGCTCTCCAGATCTGGTGGTGTCAAGATGTCCCTGCCGATGATGGATGCCTTGAATCCTGGGGCATAGGCTTCAATGCAGTCAAACACTAGAGAGGGATGGGCATGAGCATGGTGGCCAGCCCCTGAGCAGCTCCAGGGCAGCTCTGTCCCCAGGGAGGGACCAGCACTCCTGCCTGGCGTTACCTGGGTCCATGTATGCACTACATACCTGTGTCCGCATATGCATTTCTGGCCTGCTCATCCCAGGGCTGCCCGCCTGCCAGCACAGAGGGGGTGTACTGGGTGAAGAGGGACACAACATGGCAGCCCTGTGGGGCCAGCCCTGGATCCAGCACCGAGGGGATGCAGAGTTCTATCATGGGCCTGGGGAAGCAGGACACAAGCCAGCTAAGCTAAAGGGCACCCAGTCACTCCAGCACCACCTGCCATGGCCATCCTGCCCCTTCCTTCCCTGGTGCACCACAGTGTGCCAGTGCAGGCTCCTACCTGCTGGAAGGGTATCCGTTGGTGGCCTCAGTGAAGGCCTGGTGCAGGAGGTGGGTGCCCTCGCAGTTGAGATGGATAGAGCACTGGTG